AGAAGAAAAAACAGGATCCAGAAGAATTTACTGAGAAACAATGAGAAAAAAAACCTGCTCATTTATATAGAACAAAAGCCTGAGTCCTCAAGAAGCTCTCCAAGTTGCTTCCACATCCAATCAATATTTTCTTTAGCACATATGGAATGAGCCTCAGCCAACTTCCTCCTCCAGATATTCCTATTTCTGACTATCCTTAGAAAGAAGCAAGGCAGCTAATTCAAAATCTCATTCATATGAACCAGGCTTGCAGGGACATCCTGTTTTCCTGACTCAACAAATTGATGCAGATAAGCTCAGCCATACAGCCAAATATATTCACACATATGTCCTTAGCCCACAGCAGATGTGAGGCGATGGCACATGAGCCTGAACAGCCAGAGATAGACAAAACCTGAAGACTGAAATTTCTTACAAATGCAAATGAAAGAAAGGAAATTTAAGATTGGTCACAGATGACACTGGGGCAGAGATGAAGCCTTGTCTACAAAATCTACATAAGCAAGGTGGAATTCCCATTCCATATTAGCTTGACTCTTTCTTATAGTCAGCACCAAAGTCGCATCACCTTAGGAATGGACCAAAAGAACCTTGGCTGAGGCACAATGCCAGCAATTTGGATTTGCTTGAGTATGACCTCTCCCTCCTGCTGCAGCAAAACCTCCTCAGAAGTTCTCTTTTAAGAAACATTTTGCTGCAAAAATTAAAGCTAATGAGACTTCTCAAGGAGATTAAACCTCCCCCGTTCCAACTTCAGCATCTTGAGGCTCAGGCTGTTCCTTGAAAGGAGGATTTGCAATGCACATGCTGCCAAAGAAGATTTGCTGAGGGTAGGAGCCTCCTCATCTGTCCAGTCAGCACCATGGATGGTGGGTGCTCATCTCTGCTGCTTCAGTGGAGAGCACATCACTGCAGCTCACGTTATCACCAGAAAGGGGCTGTGCAGAGATGTTTGGCATGGGTGCAGAAGGGCCAGGGCACACATTATTTTCTGCTGACTTGCCAGAGCTCATCTCCTGGTGCCTCTAGACCCAGATATGAAAGTCTAAACTCTGCCATATTATGGAGGAAACACTCTCTGAGCCTGAATTCATACATAAACCTCACTGCATTTTAATGGCATTTGCACCCTATTTTGTAGGATATGCTCGGGGTATTTATAGAGAATTCAGACACAGGGATTCAGGAACAGTATGCCTTAAATTCTGAGGAAAAAAAAATAATCTCTGAATCAAAGCTCATGTTTTCATGGTCAGTCCCACCACTGAATTCCTACATTCATTGAGCAGCAGTCCTTGTGGCACCACATATTTTATACTCCTTTCTGTCCTGAAACCCCAGCATTTCCATTCAGGTTACATTTTACTGCCTCTTCATTATATACCAGGAAGGAATGCTGATGGATTAGCATCACATCCAAAACAGAAACTGGCATCATCTCAGACTCACGAGATTTACAGCAACTAGTAAGTAAATTTGGATACTTTTTTTAGTTCCCACTCTTCCTTTTTTAGAAATAAATCTAAAGAAAATACAATCCCAATGGCCTAACAGGCACACATTTACAGATGGCAGCAGTGAGTCATAAATGACATCTTTTCCTGGTACTATTTATGAGAGCCAAAAAACTGAACATATTATGAGCCATTTATAATATTTTTCAGCAGAACAGTCAGCCAAGAGACAGAGCTGAAAGCCTGTTGCAACAAAAGGTATCAAAGTGAGGAGGAGAACAGTATCTATAATTACTACTCCAGTGATAAAACAAGCATATTACAGCAGATGGTTTAACACAAGATCACTATTAAATAAAACACTGGCTCCAATGCCAAGGGATGAATATTCAAGGAGTGAACTGAGTAAAAATGTATAAAGGCAGTAAACGCAGCTCAGTTAACCCAGAAGTTTTGTGCAAGACTAACCAAAGAGATTAAACCCCACATAATTCCCCACGCTGGCTGAACAATCCCTCTGCAGTCAAAATTTTCACAATGAGGAATTAATCAATGCAAATGGCAGGACTGAGCATACTGATGGCACAGGAACTTGATCATGTCTGACTGATTAAAAAAGGTGTGAAACTCAACCCCAAAACAAACCCAAACCCTACCAAAATCAATTTGCAGAGCTTTTTCACATACCACTTCAGAAACTTCCCAGTTCTTCATAAGAAACAGACTCTAATTCATCTTGTTGGCAGCTTCACAGTTGTAGGATGTTGTTTGACAAAACAGGAGCCAAGTTAAAATCTAAAAAGAGGTTCTTTTCATTTTTAGAAGTTTTGAAAAATATTTTATGGTCAAAAGTAAGGCTGGAATTGATTAAAGTGACTAAGGCTGCACCACAGACTATGGAGCTGCAATGCTCATGCTGCACAGCAGGGCTCCAGCTCTCAGGGGGTTTGGAAGCACTAGAAAGGATGCCACCACTGAAAAGGCATTTTGAATTTGTTTTTTGCAAGTTGCAGTATTTTTTTAAATTAAATGTTTCTGTAATTTTGATATTATCTATGTAATATCTTTAGCTGAGACGCAACACTTCCAAAGCTTGAGACTCAGCTCTGTAAGATCATTTAAATTATAACATGAACAAGAAGAAAAACAGTAGAAACAGCAGAAGGTACAAATGCATAACCAATGTATACCACTACAAAATGATCTCAGAGTAAAAAGGCATTGATCATCATAAGAGATTAAAATTTAAAATATCCAAACACTTTCTCAGTGACCCTTCCACACCCCCAAGGACTCAGGCTGCACCAGACAAATCCCTGTGACTGGAAATACAAATCCTTCACCACAGACTCTCTCTAGCTGCCAGGACTCCCAGCAGGTTGTTTGAAGTTTCAGGTAAACAGATGAGGGGAGCCTGTTAAACTATGCAAGATTTAAAAGTTGTTTTAAAAATCTATGTAATATAAACATTTTTCACCCTTTAAAGTCTTTCTATATTTTAAGAACTAAGAGATGGGAGACATACAGCCTTGGTGATGTATTTATAAAACAAACTTATTATTTCTATATTTGTGTGTATATGTATATATATATACACTTACATCATACACACACACACACACACACATATATATATATATATATATATGGCACTGACAACCTCCACTGAGCAGTTGCTGCCTTGATTTTCTCTGGCCACATGTGCTTATGTGTTATGAAGAATCAATAACACAAACCTCAGACACAATTACAGACCCTGCTTCACCTAAACCTTCAGTTTCTGACTATTTTAGGGGAAGAAATTTTATCCTGGGAGACTGGGAAACTTTACTTAAGGCTTGTCAAATGATAATACATATTTAATGGATGATTAATATATATTTAATAGCTGGCCTTTGGCGACTGTAACCTATGGTTTTATTAATTTAGGCAGGGATGAATAAGTAACATTAAGATGTGGTTCTTCCTTTATCTTATCACTACACTCGCATGCATGCTTTGTATGGAAAACTTTATTTGATAATAAAAATAGCATTCACAGACTTTCTCCTTCTTTGTTGCTACATCATATACATAGTGTCTGTTCCAAGGAAAGAAGCTCTTACTGGGTAAGTCCACATCTACTCATCCTAGTGTTATGTATAAACCCAATTAAGTCAAATAAAGCTATGAACAATGTAGTATTTATATATGCATAGTGTTTTATAAAAAAGATTGGCCCACATACTGCTTTTCATCAACACAGAAAAGAGCATTTTGCCTATAGCATGTTGCAAGAAATGACGATTGGAGAATATAGACTGCATACAAGTGCTTAATAATACATAAGCAGGCCCACCATGAAGAAAGAAATGATATTTTCAAACCAACAAAAGCTTTAGAATTACTGATACAGTCTCCCATTTTAAAACAGCTTTACATACCTGATTCAGTTTACATTAAAATATATCCCCTGAATCAATTTTTTTCCATTTTTAGAAATATAAACACTTAATCACATTCCTCACACCTAAATTTTGTCATAAATCCTCTTTTATACAAGAAAAAGGCAACAGTTTTGTGGTTTTTTTCCAACAGGCTCTATTAATTACAATTTCAACTGTACACACAATGATTGGCCATCTTCTTTCTTGGTTTTGTTTTTACAGTACCATGGCAACAACAGTGATAGACTTGCAATGGTTTTGTGTTCATATGGAAGATGTGAGTCGGTATACATGTACACACCAATGCACTGGAAAAAGCAGCAGTTTACTTTAGTGGTCCAACAGTAACGGCAAACATTTTGGCTCAGCTAGGCAGTAATCCATTAAATCTTAGACCAATGCTACAGCAGACTTACCACACAGCTTGCAAATTTAAAAATACAACTTAGAAACTTGCAGGTTTCTCTTTTGCTGCTGTTCTTAGACTCAAATTTACAGCATATAATCAGGTATGGATAGGCTTCCACAACCAGGTTGTCCCACTGATTGCCTCTTTTAGCCTGTAATTTTCTTTTGATACTTTTTTATTTTTTACTTTTTTTTTTTTTTTGTTTTCCCCTCCCCAGCAAGTGCACTCCTTTTGTCTCAGTAAGGATGAACCAGTAAAACAAGGAAAAACCAACCCTTTCAATACAGAGCAAGAAGAATTGAGAGCTTTTGGAATTTGGCAAAATTAAAGCCCACTGGTTTTGCCTGAGCAGAAGGAATACACCTACTCCAAGCAGGGGGACTGTGCTCCCACTTCATTGTGCCTTGTCCCAGAATCCCAATCCCTCCCCTTGCTTCCAAGCAGATACACAATACCATGCATGCTGGGGTTGCTGTCCATATACAGCTGGGAGATGAGCAGGGCTGCTGCCTTAATGACAGATCATCGTTACATGTTGCTGAGGCTAATGAGAGCTCAACAGTCCACGTTAGCGTGTGACACAGGCATGGTGGTGACCAGTCCTTCTGCCTCTGCGCATCCTGTCCAGGGGGCCTGAAAGTATAAACTGTTCATGGAACAAACTACAAATTACTTATTGTAAATCGTCTTGTGCTGTGTGGGTTTGGTTGCTTTTTTTTTTTTTTTAATTATTTATTATTATTATAAATATCCTTCATTGAAACAGTAGTCTCTTCAAACAGTTCTTGCAATTTTAGGAACATTTGTCTCTTTCCTTTTTAATTCCTTCAGCAGGAGCGCTCCATTCCTACTGAGATGAACAATTTTCTTCCTTCCCCACCCCCAACCCTTAAAAAATTTTCTACATACAGTGTAGCAGTGAGTCACTAGAGAACAGTCTGGATCAAATTATTCAAACTTGGTCATAAAATCCTTTGCCTATATTATATTACTGGCTACCCCCATTTACTATACTGGGGAGGGGGGAAAGTAGCCCAATAAAGGGATTATTTTTAAGAAATCTACAAAGAATGTAGAAACAAAATTTTATAATCCTTTAGGACCAACATTTGGCAAGTAATTAAAAAAAAAGAATACACTGAAAAATACTTTCTTTAATATTATACATCAGGCACAATGCTTTTTTTTTTGTTTGTTTTAAGATTTCATCTGCATAAACGGTTTGTAGGATCAGCAGGTGGCGGACGTCTCGTCGCCTGCGAAAGCCAGGTTGGTTTCACTCTCTCCTCTGCTCCCTTGGTGTGGGGAAGGCGACAGGGACCCCGGGGAGCCCCTCAGATGCTGAGGTCGGTGCTGCACTCCTTGTAGGGCCGCCTGCGCTGCTCGGGCGGGTGCCTGCGGCTCGGCTCGTGCTTCCAGCCGGGTTCTTCCCTCTCCCGGTGGCCAACTCGTTCCTCCCTGAGCCGTCTCTCGGGTGACCTTTCCCTCCGCCGGTCGGACGACTTGGCCCGTCGGTCGAGGGAGTTCTCTCTTCTCCTCTCAGGAGACCTCCTGGGCTCCGTGAGTCTCTCCAGCGACCGCCGCCGGCGGCCGGGCGACCGCTCTCTGCGCCTTTCAGGAGAGAGGTCTCTCCTCCTCTCAAGTCGCTCCCGCCTCTCCAAAGTGTTGTCAGCACTCCTTGTCCCTTCCCTGCGCTTTTCAGGAGACCTCCTCTTCTGCCCGTTCACCACCGCCCTCTCTGGCTGCCTTTCGTGCCTCCTCTCCGGCGACCTCTCCGTCTTCCTGCCTGGCACGTGGTCGTTGGTTTTAGAAGTCCCATTCCAAGTGTGGTGCTCATTGGGATGTCTGCTAAACTCTCTGCTGCCTTTTAGGTCTCTAACGTAAGTCCGCTTGTCCCCATGTTGTGATGATTTGTGAAGGTCTGGTGGATAACTGGACTCCGATGATGGGTGCTGCCGTCGGTCGGATGGCGCGGGTTTCATTTCCGATACATTTTGTGAACCTGTGGCGGGACTGTTCCTGTCACTGCTGGGGTCTGAAAGAAAATAACAGCAAAGGGTTTGGTATTGATGCCTTCCGTGGTGCTGTGACACCACTTAGCACTCTTCAGACTTCATTAGTGACAAAAACAAACAACTGTTAAAGCAGTCAGCGAAGGCTAACCGAAGCTTTTGTTAATTTAACTGTGAACAACGAGAGTTACAGGTTAGTACTTGTGCTGCTCTGATCGTTAGCCATGTTTTGGTCCAAGCTGATCTCATCTTTATGCTCTTCTGGGCATGGGGCACTTTACATTTCTCCCCAAGCCCAACTCATAATGTTTCAGTTATACTACGTTCTTTCCAGTGGAAAAAAACCATTGTAGTTCAGGTTGTTGGCTGCTTTTTGTTAATAGCTTCCAATAAAGAGGGCCTTTAGGAAACAATTTTTGTCTTTTAAGACATTATAAAGAACTGCCTTCCAGGTGTGGGAGGCCTCGGTTCAAATAGCAGAAAATGTACAGAAAATAGAATTGATTATTAAGTTTTCACCTTGTAAAATAACATTTTGAAGTTGTGAGAATTAGACTGTAATCATGCCATTTCCATTTCATTTAAGGCATAGCTTAATCTCACTTAGTTCTACCATGTTACGTAAAGTCCTAGGGTAGATTTTGGTTTTGCCACAATGATTCAAACAACGATGACAGTAGTTATGATTTTTTCATATCAAAGCAATGGAAAGATATTGTAATATGTAGGATGGCTTTGATTCAAATCTAATCTCCAGTTCATTATTTTTCATGTACTATTTGAGGTAAAATACAGCTGAGCTGCCTCTGCAAGACAAACTGCAAAGCAGAAGCAGAAAAAGAACATCCAAACTAAACCCCAGCCCTGTGCTGCAGCTAAGCTACAATTACTCCCGTCATTTGTAACGGATGTTTATGAATGATTCATTACAGACATGAAAAACATTAAAGTAGCTGCGCTGCCTTAATCCAAGTGCTGCTTTTATTTGCGTATTGTTTTCTTTCTTAAAGTAACTCCTTCGTGGCAGCTTGGCCGGCATTAGCCACCTCCTTACACTTGCACCCCAACACCCACCTTGAGGTGGAATGCCCTGATGGCAATGACTGAAAACCCTCACAAACACTTGTGAGGACAGATTTTTTCTTTTTCCCCTCTTTTTCTCCTTTTTGCCTTCCCTCCAAGCAAGCCAAACACTCTACATTCCTCCTGCCATCATGCCAAGTGTCTCCCATTTGATGGCACTTCCACTCCTGAGCTTGGGAGGGTCGGTGTGTGCGTTGTGATTTTGTGAATTCCAAGTGAAACCCATATTGCAACTCCCATGTGGGCAGTTTTGCTCTATGAGCACTTTGAGGCCACAGCTGGTGATGGGACCACGCTGCTTTTCTGTGGCTGTAAGCACGTGGCTTGTGGCAACCTGTCTCTCACACAAGGTACAAGCGAGGTTCAAACATGTCCTGTGGTGAGTGTACTTACAATTTGGGGAACGCAGGGTGTTCGGGATGAATTGCTGTACATATAGAATATAGCGAAGCAGAAAAGCAATGTGAGGGAATTAGGCCACAGCACAAAAACACCTAATATTGATTTTAGCTACAAACCGTAGTTTGATTATGGCCCATAAGGTAGAAGCAAGACTCCCCGAGCTTGTCATTTCTCATACATGCAGCGATATTAGGAGGTATCATCGCTGAGGAAGGAAGAGCCCAGCACCAAGAAAAGTAAGAGAAAGAGAAAGAGAAAAGTAGAAAATTTAGATTCCCTATAATAAAGATGAAAGAAAGAAAAATCTTCATATTTTATCTTAGAATAAAGAAAGTTTATTTTTCCAGTCAGATTGTCTAGGCTTCACCCAAATATAAGGCTGCAAAGACAGCAGTTGTTATTATTGTGACATAAAGAGACATCTAAGAGGTGATTCAATAACCCAGACAACGAGAGCATCCATTCTAAAAGACAGCTGGAACAGCGACACAGAATGTCATAGAAAAAACAGTAACAATCAAACAACAACGAAAAATAAAGTCCACCAGAGACCACAACATTAAAAATAAGTACAAAACTCATTACAAAAATATACAGCCTCATAGAGAAGCACGTTCCAATCAAGTCAGAAAAATATTGGAACTTAACATTATTAGAGGAACCATTTGCGACTGCAGCGAACAGAACAAAGAGAGAAAGGAGTCCCAAATGTTACAAGGATATTCTTTACAGTAGTGCAACCCCTGTATATTAAATCCTTGCTTGGAGAGCAAACGTTTAGTGGTTAGCATTAGCCAAAACAAAATTGGTGATGGATTTCCATCCTCAGTGCAACAGACATATGCTTTGAGAAGTGAAGCACTTAATTTACAGGGTATTTATGCAGTCTAGCATATGATACAGTACTGTACATCCAAAGGAGTATAGGAAAGGACAAAAGTAGAAAGAACATTACAGAATTTCAGTGCCATCATTGAACCTTCTGGTGTGCTATTTATATTACAGAAGTGTAAACCCACAACTTCCCTTCCATATCATTAAACACTTCAATTCTTTGTTGGTTATACTCTGAATTGGTCATTTTAAGTTAAATAATGAGTAGAATGAGCAGAAGCTCTCAAACATAGTACAGTAAATGAAAAGAAAATCTAGTTCATAAATTGTGCAGAAGGGTTTTGTTTCTGGTGTTAGGGCATGGAGAGAATGACAAACACAGAACTCACTGACACAGAAATAACCCAAATACGGGGAGGAAAATATAAAGGACATCCCTTCAATCATCAGTTTCTATAGAAACCTCAAAGACCTTTGGTTGGGAGTAGCCCTCCATCGAGGGCACAATATTTGACAATTATCTCAAATAAATAAGACATAATTATAATATTAAATAGTGTGCTAAGTTAAGCCACCCAGCAATCCAACCTCCAGGGGAAGAAAAGGAAATCTAATGCAATTCTTAGTAAGAAACAAGGATTGACTGTTTCCCCCAAGACAGACACGAGAGCACCTTTTCATAACCTCCTCACCTTTTCAGACCTTACAATTGAACTAGTTGAAACCAGCAGACTGTTTAAGGGGGGAGAAAAGGGCTCAGGAGGCCAAATCAATATATTTTTGCAGTAAAGCTTTTTTCCCCTTCTTTTTCTCAAATAACTTTATAAATATTTACATAAATATTAAGGAAAGGCAAAAATCTCATAAGCCATCTCAGCATTCATGTCTATGGATACAGACAGGAACTAAGAGAAAAACCTAACCAAAAAAATTAAATCATTGCTTCAGAATTGCAACTCGGGATCCCAGTTTTTGCCTTGATTAGAAGAGACCTATGTGAAACAACAATTCAGCCGCTGAGAAACAGTTTGGCACAGTTCAATGACATTCCTTTTTTGGCTGGACAAGACAATAAGGTTTGTTTTGTTTTGTTTTGCTTTCCTCTCTGATCACCAAAAAATACTGCTATGATGATCTTGCCTTACACTGCGCCCCAAGTCCATGGAAGCAAGCAAAGGATGAAATGTGTAGAAAATTCAGCACAAGCGAGGCAATTATATGTTGCAAAGGTTGGTAAGACACTGGTGAGAAAGGAAAATAAAAAAGAATTCCCGCTTCAGATCTTGAGACAAATATTCATGGAGTGATGCCAGGGAAGAAAGGAATGTTTTCATAGTTTGACCCACCATATTCTGGGACAGAGCCATCTCCACGTTTCAGAAACAGGCGGACCTTGCGGCCACCATTTTTAATCAGTTCGATGGCCCGAGCGTGCTTCATGTTCTTGGTAGTTTCTCCATTGATCTCTAAGATTTCATCACCAATCTGCCAGTGTAATAAAGAGACTGTGATTAGAAACAAGTCCCCACGAGGGTCCCTACCAGCACACCACAAGACAGTGGCCATAGCAAAGCTGGAACAACTATGCATCAGGTGAAGCTAAACAAGCCCAACTCCTTCCAGTGAGTGCCCACTGTGTAGGAGTGTGGGAGACATAAAGATGATGGATAAAGCTTGAGGTATCAAAATATTTCACTGCTGTTCTGAAAAATAACTTTGCAGTTACTGTATTGCTCAAGAGTAAGTGCAGTGTTAGAACTGGTGCTATTTTTTTTTTTAAATTTTGGTTATTTGTAAAGTCTTCAGTCAAAGTGGTTGCTTGTTTCACAGTCTGCTCCAACCAGGATGTTCACAGACCTTTTACAGGTCTGTTTCTAACTTGGATATAGTTTGATATAGATATATAACTTAGATATAGATACCTACTATGAATCAGCAAAGCTGATTCTTTAAATATAATAATTTATCAGGAGAGGAAAACATGGCATGGAAGAGCTCATCAAAGCATTGACTTTCACAGGGCAGCACTGATTTTGCATCATATTTTCATCAGCAAAAATTCTAGACCCATAGATCTACCCCTAGCAGAAGAATTTTGAAAATGTCCTTCACATGACATGTCTGGAGACAATGATGTATTGGGAAAGTTATAATGCATTCTCTAACAGAGGTCCAAGGACTGCATAAAACCTGTCAAATTATTTTTTTAGTAGGCATTTTATAACGTATGCCATTGTTATGATTTTTGTCATTTAGGTGATACTTGAAGTTAATACCTGATGTTAATCAGATCCTACATTATAATTTTGTAACCCATGGGCCATAGACATGTTCTGTCCTCTCTCTGCCCACTAGCAGGCAAAGACTGTGGCTGTTCCATTTTCACTGCTACATCTGTCCTTAGGCTTTAAACAACACATCATATACTAGAGTTTGGAAAGCAGTGTTGGAAGAAGGGGGTGAATTCTCCCACTGAAAACACACTGCTATAGACTGTGCACCAATAGTGACAGACGCCATCAGCAGAAGTAAATAGAAACCACTTTCAGATCACATTTAATTTCCCTTTTAGCTGGAACAGCAGAAGGGAGAAGCAGGGAAGTCAGCTTATTCCAAAGCAAGGTGGTTTTGAAGCCAGTTTGTGCATACCCTCATTTTCCCACATCTCTCAGCGGGCCCATCCTCAGCGAGCCGCAGCACGTACAGGTCCATGTTGTACTCCCGGCCACCTCGCAGGCTGAAGCCAAACCCTTTGGCTCCTCTTTCTAGCTCAACAGTGTAAAAGTCTTGGTCCTGCTGGAGAGAAGACAGCAAACACCCAATTGAACAGAAAGTCAAATACTGCTCCGCTCTCATGTTGGAATTATTCAAGCAATGTTTTTGGTAATAATTAAAAATGGAAAATCAGTTGAATTTTCACACGCAGACCAGGAATGGCTGCTCTCTCAGACCCCACTCTGCAATTTGGATTTCTGGTGGCTGGTGAAGGGCTGCTGGAATGAGTGGGCTTGGCCATGTCCTGTGGTGCATTTTTGGGCACCCCTGTAACACAGCACCTCCCATGCCCAGGGCAGGAGGGGATATTTTGGGAAGGTGGTTAAAGTCTCTACCAACATTTAAAGGCAAGGACAACCTCCCTTCCAGTGCCAGCTTTAGCACAGTGTCTGATGGCACCTGGGGTGAGCCTGTGCCATGGTGCTGGCTTTTTGTGTTGTTACCACACCATTTATTCCTTTGCAAGAAGCTCAGAAACCTTTGCGTTGTTTTTCTCAAATGCTGTTATGGGGATGTTTTGAAGTCCCTAATGGAAGATGTTACTTCTGGGATGGCCAGTGGCAAGGAAAGTTACACAGTGAGATAAATAATCTTTCTAATAAGATGCCGTCTGTGCAAGCTGGAACGCTCCTGCTATCGCCCCTTATTAAGTTTTCCTCTTTTTTATTCTCTGAATTTATCATTTGCACACAACAATACTTTCTGGAGAGGGCCCTCACAACAGACAATTCAATAAACAAACACAAAAATTATTACTGCCCTAAAAATGTCAGCTCTTTTTTTCCTTATTTTTACTCCCTCAAAGTCTCGATGAGAATGTGTTGGAAATGTTTCTCAGCTGAAACAATAGCAACACATATTAAGAAACTAATCAGCAAATTCCTCTTTCTTTTCAGCAGGCCAAGGGAGAGCAGCTTCTCAGTAGGAATTTTCAAGGGGACTATTTAAACACAGCCCTCAAGGAGATTGGAAACAACAGTCTGTGGTAAGCAAAACAATTAGAGAGGTACTCCTTACCTGTGCTGCTTGGGGTGGTTTGAAATCAAACTGGGATTCCTGCTTTGGTTTGGTGTTGTTCCTGCTGTAATGAATGAGAGGGAGAGAGGAAAAATACAGCTCATGGGACGTGAAAGTGATGAAGAAGTAACTGAAGAGAGAGCATGTCGAGATGCCCTCCTCAAGGAAAACAATCTGACCTGGTCTCCTGTGGTATTTGCTGAGGAGTATGTGTGGTTGTGATTGTAGCAATTTTTTCTGCATTGGTCAATAAAGTAGCATTGGAGGATTCTGCAAAATAGATTTTGTTTTTATTATGAGGGAAGACCATGGGCTATTCACTGAAAGAAAAAAAGATTTTTGCAAAAGCATTTCACAGAAAAGCAACATTATATTGTTTTTATAGAACTGGAGATGGGATCAAATTTCTTAATTCCCCAAATTAATGTAATAAGTATGTATATGAAACTGTACACTCAACTGGAAAATGAAAAAAAAAATTAAATAAGGACATCTGGATTGGAACTCCCCTAGACCATTAGACACATTAATGAAGACTCACTTATAGATGAAGGATTGAACGAAGTTTTGTCTCTTCTCTAAAAACATGAATTCCAACCAATTAAGTCTCTAAATATTGTAGGTTGGGTGGATTAATTTTATAGTATCTATAACTCTTCCAGGGATTATAAGTTTATCAGTCCTTCTACCATCAGAAACTGCAATCTCCAGTAGAATTGAGATGTGGCTCTTATCCAGCACCTCACAAGATGATATTGAATGTGGCTAAAACTCAAATTTACTGAAATCTGAAATACAACCCACTGCTGCTTCAGAAAGGAGGAACATGGAGCCACTGGTACCAAATGCATCAATAACTCTGGGTAACACTTACAAAAGGGTGCACTGAGAGAATACAGGGAGCAGGAGTAACTTCTATGCTTAATTTCTGCCATGGCAAAGGGCTCTTAGCCCAGCACCAGCCTGTGCAAATTGCAGATTTCTTTAGGCATGGAGAAAGGGACTCCAAGGAGAGGTCCTGTCTCCTGCTTCCCACAACTCAGATGGGAACAACTGAAAAGTGACTATGTAGATGTCCCTCACAGTATGGCAGGGCAGAATATTCCCCTTGTCATTCTGCAGCTGCATCACAGACTTCAGTAGGATCAGAGTTAACCCCAAACTCACTTAAAATTCTGCCCAAAATTCAGGTCATGTCAATGCCATTAGCTGAATATTAGCAACACAGACCCAGAACTCTTCTGCATTGAACTCAACAGATTTTCCAGAACTATATATTGTACCAATTCTGAACTGATATTAGTACTGAAGAGTTTCAAATGCTGAATTGCTCCAGAAGCCAGCAGTTCCTGAAAACACCCCTCCTCCCCTGTGGGAGTTTGACTTCAGAAGAAGTCTCGGTGGTACTCCATGTACCCTGATGGTGCTTAACCACACAAAATGCTCAACAATTACGTTGGTTGAACTTGGAGAATGATGGGCAGGGTCAGCAGAAACACCCACTCATCAGACATGGCATTCCCAGCTAAAGCCACTGCAGTGGCAGGCTCCTTTGCAGAACAGCTCTGTACACTGGAAACCCCCCCTTTGTGTCTACACCACTGTACCCAGGAGAGACCCACAGAGTGCAAATAACTACAAAATACTGACCATGATCCACCTTTCAAGACCAAAATCTAAACTGAACACACAGCCAACTAAGACAGCATTGATAAAAATTGGATGAAAACATCTGGGTCTCCAACATAAGATTACAAGGCCTTCTACCCTGCCCTTGTTTGCCTCTCGAGCTACAGGCATCCACTAATTCATTTTACTGGCTACGGAGAAATCTGCCATTATTAAACAGAGTCCAGCTGCAATACAAAATTGCAGCAATGGGAGGGGTTTTGCCTGAATTAAGATGTGGTGGATCCTGGGAGTTTAACTTCATTTACTTAATAGATTGATATTAATTCTGGAGAAGACTTCTGGAGAAGTCTAGATAAGAGGAAGCTTTTCCCTTTCTGTTGCTATTTGCATGTTGAGGGAAATTCAGGAGAAGGGACAGAGAAAAAGAAGAACCACTTAAACAGATGGGTGCAACAAGAGCACAGCTCCTTTGCCTGCAGTGCTGTGCCCAAGTTAACATGCCCAAACCCTCAGCATCTGGAGCTGAAACATCTTCCAGACCAGAGCTGGCTTGTGTCCAGCAGCTCAGAGAGCAAGAGAGGCTCCTGGGTCTGCCTGCACCTCTCAGTGGAGGCGTGACCAAACCACACCCTTGTGATGATGTGCCACTGACAGCTGGCTTGTGTCAGAAGATGTCCCTACATGTAGCTACACTGTTGGGGTTTCAGAAATAATTCTGTTTATTTTGTAAAGACACCTTGATGTCAAAATCTCTCTCCTACATCAGAAAGCCCCAAAACATGGTTAAGTGTTCTGTATTCATCCAGAACAAAAGCCTCTGAAATCTTCCACAAATATTTGGAGATCAGATGAAGATGGGCTTCAAAGAGAATGCATGATTCCTACCCTTTAGTAGGTCACACTAATAATACCAAGCAGAGCAACAACACATCTTTGGTACAGATGTATCTTCACACCACTGTACTGCATCTGTCTTTAGCCCACCCTCTCCCATGAGTCAGGAGTTGTGCATAATTTTGCCAGTGTTTTAGACACTGCTTCAGGACACATGCCAGCCACCATGCAAAACTGGAACAGAATATAGCAAAAATTATCTTTAGCACAATTATAACTGCATGTTCTAAACCCTATATATTTCATTGATTCCTTGCCCTGCTCTGCCCTAAAACTCTCTGTCACCAATTACATGCCTAATCTAAGCTTGTCCTGTTCCAGCATTCTGTATCCTTGAATCTGCTGGAAGTGTGGTAAAGCATCATCATTTCATTGCAAATACAATCCTGCAGTCATCTGTGCCAATTAACTTGTGCAAGACTTATTACAAAGCAAAAACCCTTGGTGTTTTTAATAATGTTAGAAGAGATTAGCAGTGTGAGTTTATTGTGAGTCTTGTGATGCACCTCAGTTTCATGTTTATCTGACAAGTGGCTTCTGATTTATACTCCCCCCTCCTTGAAGCACACAGACCATTTATATTTGCCAAAAAAGCATTCAAAAAGAAACAAAAGAAAACAACAAATCAAGAAAAGCATACAAAGACATCAAAAAGAAAACAAAACTGAGACAGATTTCTTGTATCACATGGGATTTTAGAGCAAACCCCTCAGAGATTTTGAGAGTGTGGGTCTTGCTGTCTTTTAGAAAATAAATGCAGGTAATACATGCAGGTAATAAATGCAAAGTTGGCAATCTGACTTGGAATTTCAAAGTGACAGTAAATAAAAAGACTTATAGCCTGAATTGCTATGAAAGCAGAGTTGATTCCTTCCCTAAAGAACAGCTTTCCATCTCCTCCAGGAATACATGATGTCAATCACAGGTACATGTTTCCCTAACCTAAGCAATTTACATGATATCTGGGACACATCATTGCACGAGCAAGACTGGCTCAGCATTTATGTCAGGAGGTTATATTCTTAAAAAATTCTTAAATCATTCAGAAGTTGCTTAGTTCTCAGATGGTTTTGGTTTTTTAGAAAATAAGCACTTTATTTACTTAAAGATTCACCTTCCTTTTCATCAGAGACTAAAATACAGGTAATGAACAATTCTTCTCTCAGTTTATCTTCCAAAACAGGCATGCACAGGCCAGCTCGGATGTTAGCTTGATTCACAGCCATTTTATTATTCATGAACACCCTATTTCCTCCAAGCAGCAAAGGATTATATAGCATTTGACCTGGTACCCACTAGACAGCAGGAAAATAAAGCTTTTGTGCAGAACAGATCACCCTAAACAGAAATAATTTATAACCAGATCATTTCTCATCCTGGTCCTTGGGGAGCAATGTGGAAAGCTTTCTGCCCAACAAGCTCTCAATTTGAAACCGTCCATGGCAGAGAAGCACAATAAACAAAGAAAATACTCAGAATTCAGAAGCACAGCAATTTTAGTTCTGCTGCAGATACTTTACCAGGTTTCTGATCAGTTCCTATCTGGGGATCAAGCCAGGGATTAATTTAAAGGAACTGATACATAACAGAGGTCCTTATTTTTATTAAATACTTCAGTGACCTGAAATCAGCAGCAAGTGTCAGCTTATTATTAGGGAACCTGGACATTTCCTCTCATCTTAAACAGTGAGATCCTGCCTAGGGTAACTCTTAAAATGCAACTTCAGAATGATCCCCATTTAAGCAGTCATTTAAAAATGTACTGAACTCACTCCCAAAGCAACTTACCCAGAATAAAAGCAAATCTGCTTTTGAAACAGCTTAAAACATGTCAAAGTGTTTATCTCTTTCTGTGATCTCCTTACTCTATAGTCTGCTTGTATCTATACAAAGCTTCAGGAATCACACATCCTAACAAGTAATTCCCAAATATTCTAAAGCTGAATTAAGCTAAGTATCAAACCAAAGTGTATCGAGAGATCCATCAAATTTATGGAAGATCATTTTAAGCAGATGCATGGAAAGCCATATTCTTATTTTGTAGCATTGAATCAGCACCTCCCTGTTAAAAACCAACCATCTCTACAAAAAGAAACAAAAAATAAAGCCACGGGAGACTCACAACCTCCCTTACTGCTAACTCCCAAAGTGGGAGCGGAAACTGACCCCTCCGCGGCTCTGCAGCTGCAAGTGACAGAAAAAGCCCGGGGAACAGAACCAAGAAGAGGGTGAGGCAAGACAGCAGGAAACAGATACTTTACCATCTCCTGGAATGATGCGCAGGGTGACGGTGTTTCCCGCTTCCTTAATGAGGTTGACGATGTCTGAGTGCGACTTGTTGGTGATGGAGCACCCATTGACGGCCAAGATCCGGTCGCCGACTTTCAGCTTTCCGCAGCGGTCGGCGGGGCTCCCTTCAATTATCCGACCTATTTTGTGAGGCATGGCCACACATGCATTTCCCGCTTTTGTATTGGTTTGGGGGTTGTTTTTTTGTTTTGGTGTTGGTTTGGTTTTTTTTTTTTTTTTTTTTTATTGTTTACGTATGTGGGAATATGGTGAAGGGGAAAAGGAAAAAAAGGGTTGAAAAGGGAAAGAGAAGGTTAAGGGTTAATTAATTAATGCATCAAGCAAAAGTTATTATAGGATAGCTTTGCTGCCAGTGTTCAAAACATTGGCAATCAACTAGTTGAGTGCACAACACTACTTCCACCACAAAAAGGTGTTTTGTTAATCCCTCAAAACTCCCCCCAAGTGGATTTCTGTTAATAAATGGTGCAATTTTTATTGACTACAACTGCACTTAGCAGCTCCATCATAACCCAAATCTGATTTTGCTTTTGAAGAAAAAAATTGAAACTGTTTATAGAAAACTCAACTTTCCTCCTCCAAGATTACATCAGTGTCAGCCTCTCTAGTCCTTCTCTAAGCCAACTGCTGTTCAAGATTCTGCCAATGTTTTGTTCTTTCTCAATTTAGAAAGATAAAATCGCTCTAGGCCTAGGAGGGAGCATGGCTCCCTATCTACCACACAGACCCACTCTACCAGCGCTGCATGGGGAAGCAACATGAAACGTTTTTCTTCCATTGTGAATAAAGGTTCTACCAGGGAAGGCACAGGACCACTACAGATGGGCCAAGACTGACAAAGGTAACCTGTTTGGTGCTGGCACCCACCTCAGCCTCTACTAACCCTTCCTCTTTTATGATCTTAGATGGCACCAGGTGGGAACACAGAAGGAATAAGGTTCTCCTCATTAAAATACCTCTAAAACCACACACAAAAACATTGAGATGTCTGACACACAGAGCGAGAGCACTTCAGGATGAATGTGTTCTGGAGACAAAATTCTCCTCCTGTTCCATGCAGTTGTTTTGTTTCAAAAACACTGGGTTGTTCATAACATGCAGAATTGGGACACAGGGGATACACAACATCACTCAGATAAATCCAGTGAGCTTTTCTACTGCTCCTTTATGTGGGCAAGAGGCCTTGGGGCACACAGCACATGGTCATCTCTCACTTTGCATCCACAATACATTCACCCTCAAGATGCACTTTCCCATCTCTGCTGTAGTCTTCATTTGATTAGTAGTTTTAGAGATACACACACATGACAACACTAGAAAGACCATAAAGAAGAAAAGGCTAAGACAAGGATATGTGAGGTTGGAAAGATGTGATGAAAACTGGCAGAAAGTGTTAATATTAGTTATATTAGTTACAAACACTAGGGAGATTTTTTTTTCTTTAATTTTACCATGATGTTAGAAAGTTTCTCTTTCTGATAACACAAAGCCCCATCCAGTTTGCAGTTTATCCTGTTTTGAGGATGTGAGTTTCTACCCTACCCAATCCACTAAACAGATGAAAGAGCCCACACCAAAGTGACCAAGGTGGGTTTTAGAACCAGTTTGGCCCATCTCTAAATACTACCCATGAAAGAAAAAAACTACAAAGCAGGTCCAGAGCAAGCACCAGACAGCAGAGGGAACACATCTCATGCAGAGTGTTAGGAAAAAACAGAATATACTTGAAAAAATTAAAGGAAAAACAGTCACAGATCAACAGATCTCCTTGGGAGGCCCTGCACAGAAAACTTCCAGTTAGCAAGAATTCTGGGCTAAAGCAAACACAACTTTTAACAACCTCAGGTCAAGGTTTCTCTGCAGAGAAGAGTTACAGCATAATCTTCATACAGTAAAAGTTATTTACCCACGATTACAAATCTGTTCAGAAGATAAAAGCACGCCCTCTGTTCTAGACTGTGTTCAGTTTCATGTTTTACATTACACCATTGTGTCCTGGCACCAAAACACCTATCTTGGAAGAGCAGTTTCCAGCAGCAAGGACAGTGTGAGAGAGCCTAGAATCTGAGAACTGACAGAACTCAATGAACTAGTTTTGTATTACATAATTCCCCCTTGAAATCTCTGCCAGACTGCCCAGAACAGTGCTAGAAACGGCCCGTTCTACATCAATACCAGCAAAGGGGTTGGTGCTCCCTTGATGTATTACTAAGGGTGTCACTGATGGGCAATGGCAAGAAATGTCAGAAAATAAAGCCTAGGAGAATGAAGGAAAGGCCACTTCTTGCATCTGAGGAGCACTCAAGCTGCACAGGGAGCCTGCAATGCATTTTCTCTGCAAACCACAGCACTGCTGTGGGAGGTGCTGTGAAGATGGACAAGGCAATGTCCTTCCTTTCCCTCCACCCCTACCATGTGCTACAGACTAAGGGAGCACCTTCCTTTACAAAGTACAAGTGGATACAATAGCTCTGCCTCTGGCTTCCATTTGGAGGAGATGGAAAGGGAAGAAAATAGCATCTCTGACTGGTTTCCTCCTTGCAGTGACACTTCTGCTTGAGAACAGCCTGTTCTGGGCATATTTGCAAAACCAGCTAATGTACATCTCCTCTGCAGCAACTCCTGGAAATGGATATCTGCCTAGCAGAAAGACTGTCTTGAGACATAAAGCATGACCAGCTCTATTAGGTCAGGATATTACATGTGACATAGGTTAAATTTAATTTCTTCCTACTCTGAAGAAATGCATTTGGGAAGAGGCCAAATGGGTAAAAGAAACATCCTGTTCTTTTAACAGTATTCCCCATTTTATGTCTCACCACCAAGCAGTATTAATTAAAACTTTCCAGCTATCAGCATGCTCACAACATAATGATGATCAGAATAACCCTGATTGCCAAAGACAAGTTAATCAGTTTAAGCATTACTGCTTTTAAATCAACTGGCTTGATTCCACCATCACGAGACATATTTCATTCCACCTGCTACATTTCTGCACTGGCAAACAGCATCACTGGGAGGCTCCCCAGCTGCTCCCCTGAGAGCAAACCCCGGAGAGGCTCTCCCAGAAAGTGCGCATCAGGAACTGCCATTGGTGGCATTTTAGCTCTTCAGGTTGGGATGTCTCATTTCACTTTTCTCAGCTCAGTGCCGAACAACACTCAGCAGGCAAACACCTAGCGAGTCTTCGCCTCTGATTTTGCTATTAATCACATAAATCGGGGCACGCTCATGCCTTTTAATTAAACAGACCCCCACCCTCCTCCTTGGGCCGCAAACCTGGCGTCTCCCTGGAGGTGCAACCAGAACCCCGCAGGACTCACCGAACGTCGTGCCCGCCTCAGGCCTGCTCACCGACGAGACGATGACGAAGCCGAAGCCCTCGTTCTCGCCGCGGCGGATCTCCACGTCGTAGGGCTGCACCACGGCGCTGACCACGCCGCTGCCGCCGCCGCCGCCGCTGCCGATGCCGCTGGTGCTGCCGCTGCCCGAGCTGACCGTGTTGAGGGAGTTCTGGCTGCCCTGCGGCGTTCGCTTCTCCTCCGTCAGCGAGGCCGGCTGGTTGCTGCTGTGGTGGGAGGAGGCCGGGGATGGGACTTCGTTCTCTGCCTTGGGAACTGGGGAGGGGAGAAGGATCTGTTGGAGTGGGCTGCACCATTTAGTGCTTGGAGAGAGGTGTTTGCTGAGATAAGGGTAAAAGAAAATCACCTGCTTTAGTCTACCCATCTATGGCCACGTTTTCAATAGCTCTGCCCGGTGGTGGCACTGCCCACAGTGCTCACCCTCTCCTGTGTGTGCTCATTCAGCCAAAGCTGTCCACTGCCAAACTGCAGCCTGGTTAAACCAGTGCAGTGCTGTGTGCCTGGATGCTCTGTGCCATTTCAAACCTGGATTACTTTAGTTCAAAGGTGCCTCCTCTAGCTATTGCATCCCCACTTCAGTTATGTACATACAACCATCTGTACGTTGTACATATATACGCACAAGCCACAAGGAGAGACAGTAATATCTCACAACAACACCTTCTGTGCCGTTTCAAACTGAAAGCTATCAATTAGTGCACTGATTGCCTTTGATTAATGGAATCTTTAGCAATAAGAATCTCTCAATGCGAGAAAAACAGCTTGGGAACCAAACATTTCTGGATAGAAGAACCAGCAACTATCATCTGTACAGTCTGGTACAGACATTAAACATTGTTAACGTTAATATTAAACAAGTGTTTAACAGCAACTGAAGTTGGAAGGGGTATTAGTTTAAAATCTAATCAGCTACCACATGGCTTGAAGAAATCTCAAAAATTTGCTTAGTCCAGACTCTGCTCAAGTGAGGGCCAGCTCTACCTAATATCAGTCCTGACAGATGTTTGTCTAATCAGCTGTTAAATATCTCCCAAGGCAATCTATTGGTTGCAATATCTGACTTAAATCTTCCCTGCTGCTACATAAGGCTATTATTTCTAGTGCTAACAGGCATATGGAGAACATATTATTCTCTTCCTCTTTGCAGCAGAATCTTATAGTCTTGGGAAGTTTAATACCTCCTCCCCCTCCTCTGCTTTAAGCTAAAGAATCCAAATTTGTTCAATATTTCCTTTCAGACCATGTTTTCTAGAGCTCTCCTTATTTTCCCTGGTCTTCTGGACTCCCTCCAGTTGGGCTCTCTCCAACTCAAATATGTCTTTCTTGAAGTGCTGGACCATATTGCACTAAGCCATCATCTGCTGGGAAATCAGGAGAGTTTCCCCCTGCCTACATCCCTGCACAGTCTTTTCTTCACCTGAGCCAACCTCAGCATAAAGCTCATGGCCCACAATAGCTTCCACTTCTTGTTACTCAGCCTGTTCTCCACAGCCCATTTGTGCAGCTCAGAGCAGCATATTGCACTTGTCCTTGCTGAATGGCTGCCTCTGCTAATCAGGTCACTTCTCCAATTTGGTGAATCAAAATTAAGCTGAAGATCTTAAAAGCATCAGCATGAAAATGGATGGCAAACCAAACCTAAACCTCAAATTCACAATGCAAAAAAAAAGGACTTTAAAATATCCTTGGATAGAAGTCCCATCTGCACTTAAATACTTAAAAGTATGCACTAAATAGATTGCATTCTTCATATTAAGATTACAGGAGCATAAAATTTCCTCTACATGGATCTGAGGACAGAGAGTACTCATTTAGGTGAACAATCCTTTTCTACTGGCATACAGATGACAGGAGGAACAAGGGACTGAAATTCAGGAACAGCCTTCTCTACAAAGTTCTGCTGAAATTTAAAAGCCTGCAAATATAAGGTGAAAGAAGGGATTCTGAATAATTTATCCTAGAGTAAGTGTCCACATTTGCAATGATTCAGAAATAGCTCGATCTGCAGTAACATGCCTCTGAATGAAATATCAAGAGAGATCTCATGCATCTAAATCTTTCATGGTAATTTCCAGCCTGGAGGCTGTAAAGCTGCATAGCAAATCTACACACAAAAACAATACCAAAATTCAGCTGCCATTCCCCTTCCTTCCAATGCTCTTCTAAAGCTTTTCTCACACCAGACCTTAGTCAGGAATTAAAGAGAGGCTGTCAGAGGAGAGACATAATCTGGTGTTTAATCCACACTGGGAAGAAAGAAAGAAATGAGAAGTGAACATTTATTTATTATTGTGCAGAAGGAGCTCAGGTCTGGATAAGATCACAGAGCTATTTCAGAGGTACTCTTCTAGTCCTACCTTCCACTGAGGACCTAATTTCCAACCTGTTATTTTGATTCTTTCTAAGATCAAAGTACATCACTGCCTATTTTTCTGATGATGCCTAAACTTGAAAAGCTACATAATATCCTTTTCTTTACTGAGCAGAGTAAAAGCAAATCCCACACCTGAGTTCCTATAGGGGCTCAAAGGGACAGGCAGCGCTCAGAAGTTACTCTCCACTATTAAACACGGCCACATGTTATTTAAAAAGCTCATGCCCATGTCTTCATTTTCTCTGCTATCATGACATTTTTCAATCACTTACCTGGGTGCCAAAATGGTACCAGGCAGTGTCACTTCTCTTTGCATCTTTGTCTTTCTAACAGCTTCTTTTCTGTTCATTTAGATCCTACACTTCTGCAGTGTGTGCACAATGCCCAGCATAACCCAGCACACAGAAAACCCTCTAGACATGTGCAACTTGGTCTGCTAGAAAGTGTCTCTGCCCATGGCAGAAGGGCTGGAAATGGATGATATCTAAGGTCCCTTTCAGCCCAAACCATTCTATGATTCTGTGACAACAAACATGCACACCCTGGCCCACCAGAACCAAAAATGTTTGCAGTTTCCCATCCTGAGGTCTCTTGACTGCATGTTGAAGCTTCCCCTGAGCCTGGGACAGCAGCCGCCACACACCAGAGCCCTCACTCACACTCTGCCCTTGCCTCTTCCTTCTCTGGACTCTTAATCATCTTTTCCCTCACTCCCAGTTTAAGGGTGACTATCAGGCTGCACATTTATTTTGGAAAGTATACAGAAAACACAAGCAGTTGGCCACAGTGTCTGCTGCATAAGTCGAACTAAAAATTATACGTTGCAACCAAACAGTTCCCCATTTTATCAGAAACCTTATGAAGACTGGGAAAGCCAACTAAGAGAGTCTTGACTGGAAAAAAAATACTTGAAACTTATTTGATCAGGAACAACAAAGACTAAAAACAGGCAAAAAGGGAAAAAATAACAGTCCATCCCTTGAGTTTTCCCAGCACTAGAAGAAGCTTTTTTTTTCCTTAGACCATTTGCTGAACAGATGGGATCCTGGCAAGAAAATCCACCCCTGCGGGGTGATAGTGCAGCCTACCTGTGTAAACCACTTTGCGCCTGACGGTCAGATTGACATGACCTTGTTTGGCTGCCTGTTGCATGAGCTGGACCACAAGCTGGTGTGATTTCCCCACCACGGGCGTCCCATCCACGCAGATCAGCTCATCGCCCGATCGCAGGCGGCCGTCGGCGTCGGCAGCACCCAGCGGTACAATGTGACCGATGTAAATCTGAGGAATTGGCACAGGAGGAGAGAGAGCAATGAGAGCCAGCACAACAGCCAGCTGCAAGCAAGGGGCACTCCTAGGTAGACCTGATTTAGGAGGGACATGAAATCGTTGACAAATGTCTGCTGGTCAGGGAAGTTGCTCCTGTGAAAGCGGTTCTGTGTGAATACAGCACATTGGGAAATTGTAATAAATTGACATCTTGTTTCTTTAGGCAGTCCATTCACTCTAAGGACAGACAGCCTTGGGAAACTTCTTCAACCAGACAGTGACCAGACAGGAAGATGGTTAATAGCACTGAGGGTCTTGTCAGGGAAGCTGAGATTGAGTTACCCTTTCAGTTGCCTGCAGGGTTTACAAGCTCTGCACCACACGCTCGTTCTCCAACTCAGTCTTGGTTTATCCTCAGTGAGTTCTGTGGAGTTACTCTAACACGACATGAATTTGTGGCCTCTCTTCTCATAAATGAGCAAAATAATTTTGGCAGGGAAAAACATGGGAAGTCATGCTGCCACTATCTAGCTAGGACCTGTGCAGCACAGGAAAGGATGACACCTCCCACAGGCACTGGATTTATGGTAAATAAATTAACTGAATTCAAGGAGAGAACTGAGCATTCTAAGATCAGGGAACCTGGCATTCTAAGACCAAAATACTTGCAAACATGACCAGGACATCCTGTCCTTAGTGTCCAAGAACCTATGTGTTTTTCTTTGTTTTTTTTTTTTTTTTCTTCTACCATTAAAGTAGAAGGACAAGCCAAACCCATTTCAGTTATGGAGTTGTGGGGTTATTTTGGAGGGAGGGTGGGAAGATGCAGGATTTATATATAGTCCAGTAAATATTTAGCAGTGATGATACAGCATAGTTCTGCACAGCTGTACATTCTACTGCTGTGTTTCTGAAAGATGTCACAAACTAAAACATGATACTCACAGGTTCTCCAGGCTCATTTCCACCTAGAATCCTAAATCCAAACCCGGTTTCCTTTCTCCATAGAAAGATATCCTGCTCTTGATAATCTGGAACTGAAGGGAAAGAAGAAAAACTATCATTTTTAATCAAAATACCACACCTTTTTACCCAAATCAGGACTACTCAGATGTACATAAAAGGATGTGCCATGCAATTTTAACCTTTAAATGAGGAGGGCTTGGAGACCACCTCCTTTTTACATCAAAAAAAAAGACATAACTGTCAACATTTATAGTTTTAAATACTAAAGGATTATTACTTATATTACCATTAAAAGTTATGCAGTGGTTTCTACTTTCTAGGTATCTAATTGTGGCTTGCCCTTTATTTATCCCTATGATATTTCCTTCTGTCAATATTAGCATCATTACCCATTGCAAGAGTCTCTTCCAAACCATCAACAAATAAATGTGCACAGCAGAGAATTACTCTGCCAGAAACAATACAGCTGCCTCCTCTTACATGGGAGACAGAAGAGCCACTTGTTATGACTTCTACTATTTAATTAACTTTCCCAAGCATAGTTTGCTGTCTGTCAACCAACTCTGCTTTAAATAACTGTGGGACAGATCCCCAGTTGGTGTAAATCAGAAGGGCTCCACTCAAAGCAAAGCAGCTCTCCTGACTCTCACTTGCTCGTGTGCAGGCTTTGCAAAAGCACTGAAGAGATAAAACCAGCTAGAAACATAAAAAAGCCCAACCTCACCTACTCATTAGTATGGAACACCAGCAAGGTTTTTACAATGAATATTACATACAGTGAAGTACTAACCTTGAAGCGCTGTTGAACAGCAATGTTTTATATTAATTTACTCATGCTTGCTTTCATCCCTTTTTTAAAAATGCATAACTAATTGCTAACATTATATCATATCAGAAGACAACTTCAGGTTCATTTAATATTTATTGGATAGTATCTGTAACATTGACTAATTTTGTAATGATCCCCTCCCAAAATTTATAATTAATGATAATAAAAAGCTGTTGCTTTACCAGTCAGCTGCCTATAACTTCAGCAAAGAAGAAAGTATATCGTTCAGGAATCCAATCTAAATAAGTGCCTCTTCAGACACAAGATATAGCACATTTAGTGACACATCATCTAGCTTTCTGTATCTATGAACAGGTTGTTTACTATTGGTATCAGTGAATGTCAGATTGGGCCCTAATTGGATTTTACACTGTCTGTGCTTATTCTGCAAAAATTTGGGTCTGCTCGGGTGCTTGTCAGATTTTTGGTTATCTCTGAAGGTCTCTCTTCAATAAGTTAAAATATAACATGAATTGAAGAACTGGGAATACTAAAAATTAAACAAATAGGTGAATGGTGAGGTACAAATGTGTGCTTCGACATTTTCATTTAAGCTGGCTTTGCAGATAATATTTTTACATTTTAATTACCTGCAATTATAAGCTAAGCTTAACACCCGTGCCCTCACTGAATTAGAGGCTGATTTTTGTCCAGACACAATTACAGAGCGCTGGGGTGATGAGCACGCCGGGTGCCTGTGTGCCTCATCTCCTCTGGCTGAAGGCAGCTCGCCACGCGCAGACATGCAGCACAACAGAATTCAGACAATGAATTAATTGCTGTTTGCCACTGCCTTCAGCAAGGGGAGCGTGACAAGCAGACACAGTCAGGAGCGTCTCTCAGCCCTTCGCAGGCTGTTTTGGCAAAGGCTGGCCCCGAACAATTAATAGTGTGTGCTGGATCTGTCAGAGGTAAAGTGGCTGCTGCAGAGAGCTCCGGCGTGGGCCCATGTCCTCGGCATCTCTCAACACCTTCCATTTGTCACCCCTCCAGTCTCACTGAGCGATGCCGTATGGCTCTGGTTTGGGTCCCAGATACACAATTAATGCTGCTGGAGGGAACAGCAGGCCAGGCTGGACCAGCCGTGTCAGACCAAAGCAACATAAAAAGACAAGTCTGCCCCCAAAGAAGCCAGCTCTTTCACATAGTGCTCCTCCCACTGGAAGGATTTCAGTGAGGTGGAACACAAATAGAACAGACATACAGAGAACACACCTTTTCACAGAATGAGTACAAAGCTCCTTTTACCACTTATTGCAGGTGTTCTGCAGGGCAGTGATTCACTGGCACAGCCCAGAACGCCCATCCACCCCCAAGCTTCAGAGGTGAGACCCTCTGAGATTCCATACCAGAAAATTATTTTAGGTTGTCCCATTATTCAGTTGCACTTCTGAGGAGCCACTTTTACTCAATGGGAACCTGGTGCTGTTGAAACTTTGTTGAAAATGAATGAAAAATGGCCTCTAGGAGTCATTCATTGCAACCCTGCACCATGGCTGATCTCAAGAATGTCTGTCTGAAAAAACATGTATGCAGCCCAAATGGGTAAAATTTAACAGCAGTCCCAGATTAAACCTGACCATTTGGAGAGCAGTGCAGAAGTGGTAAGAAGAGTTCTGTGAATGGCAGGACATGTGGGTGATGCATCCCCATTGATGAGCCACATGGGCAAACGCATGAAGGAAACAGGACCACAATACACCCGCCCCCGGCCACCTACACCATCCAGCCAGGACAGCAGAGCCAGGCTTTGCCCCTGGGTGGCTAAACCTGGCATATGGCCCTGCCAGACTCCCTTGGTGATGAAGAGCCCCCCGCCAGAGAGCAGCAATGACACCAGAACAAGACATCACAAGACACAGATACATTCTCGGCACAATCTTACATTCTCCAAAACTCGTGGAATTGATTTCTCTCTCTCTCTCACCCTTGCTCAGTCCAGTTGCAGGTGAAGGTGACATAGCTGTAATATTAATTTTACAGTTTTGCAAAGCTTAATGTATCTGCTTTCTTGTTAGTTCATTTAATTAGTTGTGACCTTATGGGTCATGTTAGACTTGCATGCACAACTTGTTAAGGTTATAGCTACTGTGGATTATGACATACTGAGTTTCACATCTCTCTGCCTGTGCACATGTAGATATAAAATACACACACATATAAATTTACACATTTATGCACATGCATGCAGGTATAGTTGAAAAACCTTTTTTCTCCTTAAAGGAAAAATTTCTGTGAGAACACCTTAAATATACTTTTCTACAAAAAACCTTTCAACTTCATGACACAAGTTAGTTTTCCAAATGGAAATATCTTCGCATAATGTTAAAAGAAATTCTAAATATGTGGTGATGGACAACAAACACAGTGCTTAATTACAGATAATTGTAATCAAAATTTACTATGTAAACTTTAACATGTTATATAAAATAAAAATCTGCCTAGTGTGACATTAGTTTCAACATAAGATATATTCAAGAATACCAGTGTGAGTTTGTTTTAGTCACTGGCACATTTAAGGCGGCAGCACTTTCAGTGACTCATAGCTTGGCAAAGCACAAAATCTTTAAGGCCCAGATTCAGCAAAGTATATGAGGACAAGTCTGAAATCAGGAGTGGACAGTCTCACTGAAGCCAATGGAGAGTTTCAGAGCTGAAAAGTCCTGCAATTTACCCACAGATCTCATAAGGCTCCATATCTGCAAGAAATCCATTTTCTAAACTATCCCACTGCAGGAGAATTCAATATTTTTTTTTGTCTTTTCTCTTTAACCAGCCCTTGGTGGTGGCATGGAAAGCTTTTGAAAGATGGCTTCAGCAGGGGCTCTTGACAAGATGAACAAGCTCCCGTGAGTACCACGGTCCCTCTTAGCAACACGTTCTCCAAGGGCACAGATACATCGGTGTGCCCAAGAGCATCACTGCAACTGTTTGACTACTATTAACATAATAAAGGGACATAACCCTACAAAAGGGCTTTTATTAAACATCATCTTTCAACTCTGATCAGAAGGTGGTTGTGATTTCAGGAGAGTACTCTTCTTTTCTATTTTAAGGGGAAATTATCTAATGTTTGTGTTATTGTGCAAATATTTTTAGTTCTATGTAACTGCCGATGAGCGAACACGCTAGGGTCAAGACTTGTTTGTATTATTTTAATTAGATTTGGGGAGAGAAAAAACCTCCCAAACAAATTGTGTGCCTGAAAATAAAATTCAAATGTTAATGATAACTTCGAATATTTTAAAAGCTTTAAAAATTCTCTATCGTGTTCTGCTTTACTTTTAATTAAATGCTTAAGCCCTTCAAAGGGATTCATTAACACATCTGCAATTCAGATTAATTCATTTTGTCACTGCTGTTTTGACAGATGGCCATATGTAGGATACGGTATTTTGTAAAGCAATCAGGCCACATGAGAAAAATTTGACAACAGATTGTGTTAATCTTTAAGGAAGTTTAATAATACATTGAAAAGTAAAAAGCATATTATAAAAATATATTTCAATAAAACAGTGTGAGGTTTCTGAATTGTGGCTCTCTGCTAAGCCATTCAATTGCTGTTTCTCTCTCTGAGTGCTCTTCAAGTGTGTCATTCCTGGATCTTGGAACTGCTTCAGCTTTCAAACCTTAAGGGTTTGTCCTTCCCTCTGATTCATGTACACAACTCCCACGTGCAGCAATGAGTTACCCATAACGAGGAGCTCAGGCAGCTAAAGCTCAGCACCAGCAAAGAGTGCATTTGTTACCACCACCAAATGCTGTTTTCACATCCCCACAAAGCTGGCTATTCTCAAACATCTTAATCCAGCAAAGACTGGTCACTCTGGGCCAGACTGCAGCACAGCATCTGAGCGCAGCCTTAGCCTTAAAGCATGCCTTTGGGTTTACAGCTTGAAAATAAGCTTCCTTGGAGCCGAGCCCAAACACTCAGCACCTTGCAGGGCTGATCCCCTCACCATGGGGAGCTCCACATGAAGGAACTTTAACCCACATTTGTGGAATAAAGTTGCAGTTCTAATCTGCTTCCCCTCAGCCAGTCCAGAAGCAGTGATGGAGCCTTTCCTTAGCTTTGCATTATTAATTCTAGCTTAATTTTTGTTCTGTTTTTTTCTTCCCCTAAACAAACAACGTCTGTGGCTCTCCTCCGCAGAACTGGAGCACTTTCTGATATTAAGATGCTTTGAGTAAATCATAAAAACACATGCTTTTACACAATTATGAGTTAGCTGGTGCTTTTCAACCTAAGGGTTCTCTCCAATGACTTCAGTGAGACAGGTCACATAAGGCAAATACAGTCTTTTTGAAGGAAATACTGATCCAAAGACAACTCAAGTAGAGCAGGAAGGAATTTTAGAAATTCTGAAATATTAAAATGTTGCCTTTGCTCTCTGTGTCTACATTCTTATTATTAATGTAAGTAACAGTGGGATGCTTTCCCAGAGAAAAAGGCAGTAGGTATTCATTACAGATTCAGTATTTCTCAGAAATATCTTGGAGAAGAAAAATTCATATACCGAATAAAACCTCTTTACAATATTATTTTTAGATGAAAAAAAAAAATCTGTCTGGGCTGAAGCTAATGAATTCTTCTGCTTGTGTCAAATGCACTTGAAAAACTGCACTATGCTCTTTTTATGCTCAACAATTTCAAAAATGGGACAAAATAAAACACTTAAGATGATCTAACGCTCTAAAATTCTGTCCTTTTAAAATTTATCATATACCTCAACACAAAGGCTTGCTCCTGTTTGTCAGTCCACTTGCTGAGGACTCAAAGCCCTGAAGAGCACTCTATAGAAGAACATCCTATAACCCTTTTCAGGCTTTTTAAAATTTAAGGCCAGCAATTACCAGCGGGCAAGCCCTGGCCTGAGCGGCAGAAGAGCTGTGCTGGAGCTCCTCCAGTGGTGGAATCTTCTAGAACCCACCAAATTCCCTGGTGACTGGATGTGTCACCCACCCTCAGCCCTGGCACTAGGGTGACATCCTCCTGCTGTGTATAAGATATTCACTTAGTTCTGCTCACACCTCCATCAGAAGGCTGCAGAGAGTCACACCCAGCACCCAAAGCTGTCATTGGAGATGACAGCCCCAAAGCCTGAGGGAATGGGTGCCCAAGTAAAAGAGAAAGAGAAGACAGGACTGTTTCCCCACCAGCCAAAGGTGGCACCAGAATTAAATCCGACTGCAGCTGGGTAAAAACATGAAGAACAGCACACGTGGAGCTGAAAGATGGAACTGGAGTCCCCAGGGAATGGTTCCTCCCATCACACACTCTGATGCTCAGTGTCAGCAGAGCTCCCTATAGATAACCCGAAAGCCAAGCTTGGGAAAAACTGGGAATGAGTCTCAAAGGGATGATTCAGGCTCGTAAGAAAGGCAAAGAAACACAGGGCTTCACCCCAAGCCCCCTGGGCAGCAGAGCCAGGTTTCAGCTGTGAACCACAGACTCTACTTAAGAGACTGGTGATAAATAAGGACTTGGTGAGGCAAGGAGGAGCAGACCACTGACCTCGAAGTAAAACCACCAGTCATGCTTTGGGATCAGACCACAAAAGTAGACAGAGCACATCCAACTCAATTTTTCACTTATCTTTCCTGCTTTTCTTCACATTTCATTACCCACAGCAAAGCCATGTCACTAGCTAAGAGTGCAGGTTAATCCCCAGGGAATGTGCTTCACTCCAGCTTAGGGTTGGAAATTCACAGGCTCTTGGGCACCTCTAATGGTTTAAAAGGAGATATGACCATATCACATTTCTACCATTCTCCAAAGAACCCCTATCTATGAAACCAAGAAATCTCAGAAAAACACCTTCCTGGAAGGGAACAGCAATGGGATGAAAGGGTCATACAAGAGCACCAATGTTCAAACAGGTTTTATCTGGTAGAAGAGGCAAGAGACAAGGACTGAAGCGGGAGAAGAGGATCAGCCCCACTAAAGAGATGCTGGACTATGGAAAGGTGAGCCAGGGAAGCTGAAGGGGTGTAGTAGATCTCAGTCTAGCAACAGGCCCAAGCAGTGAGGATTGTGGCACAGGAAAAGATGGGGAGTGGGAAGCCAGCAGGTTAAGAGATTGTGAAAAGGCCCCTGGAAGGGCTCTAGACCCAGCCAAGGACAAAACCTCTACAGGATAACTGCAGCCATTGAGGAAAGAGGGAGGATTTAGCACATGGCGCTGGAGGTGACACAGAAGGGTGACTGCCTGCCTGTGCACTTCAGGCTTTCTCCAGCTCAGTCTTGGGTTTTATCAGGAAAGACAGGCAGGAGTTAAGGCTGCTAAGCTGATACTAATGACTAATTAGTATGAGTTAAACAGTTAATTAGAAATTAGCTAAGTAGCTGCAGGGGGTCAGAGGCAATGGCAGCACAGTGCCAGCAGGAACCACACGGGCTGGGCAGAGGGAAGGCCAGTGCCATGGGACACTTGTCCAGCCAGGCAGGAGAAGGAGGAGCTCTGCCCACAGCTCTGCAGGGCTCAGCAGCTGCTGTCCCTCAGCTCTCACCCTTTTCTCCTGTTTCAATGAGCTGCACACAGAAGTTCTGTCACTGCACTCTGCAGATCAGCGTGACCCAGCCCGAGAGCCCGCAGGGTCAGTACACCCAATCCCTAGGAAAGGATGGGAAAGGAGGCAGAGCACAAAAGCAGAGACACCTACAAACTGCATTGCTGAGACATTCAATCCAAAGAGATGCATCTTCAGCCAAGAAACTGTGACTCATGATTTAATTTTCCCAGGATATAAGACTTCAAAGTGATTCATTTCATCAGTGAAAAAAAGTCCTACCATTTTTCTTTCTGAGGTAAAGGTTAATTTCTTACTGGTTTTACCAATTTCCAGTTAGACAATAAAATCAAACTGCAGGTGATACTCTCAGAGCACTAAGAATTTGAAACTCCCTTTTCTCTAACTAAAGTAACTACTGACTTTCAAAATGAACCTAACACTCTAACTCTTTAAGAAGCTTTTACAGATTTAATCATCTTCAGCAGTGCAATTAAAGCAAAGCCAATGTGTTTATTTTGTTTCCCGAGAAGAAACTGATTGAAACCACATTTATAGTCTTGGAACAGAGTCAAAACCCTGCTGAATTATTAGCCAAGTGTGCAGATTATTAATTGCCATAAAAGCCACTTACAATATGCATTTAATATCTGTATTGTTAAAGTGTCCACTCTGGTCAAAGTAAAATGGCTCAGCTGGATTTTCTCCTCCCCAGAGTGAGGGTGAAAAGCATCTGATATGAATTTCAGCAAACTAGATACTTCCCCTCCTTACTGAAATTCCTATGCATATCAGATAATGAGTCTCAACCTCAAAAAAGAGGTTAGGATCTGGATAACAAACTTGAAAATTCTCCTCCAGCCTAATTTAAAAGCACAATAAAAACATAGGGGAAAGAACAGTCTTTAATTTTAAAGGGATTTTTCATATTAAGCTTTGGTCTAAGCACCCTTTCCTAAAGATGATCTAAACCCAATCCTCGTGAGACAGCAAACTGCAGCTCTACCAAGTGTATCTCACTGACAGACACCAAATCAACCAGCAGAATCCCTACATTTCCAGCAAGAAACCAAAAAAGATTCATTTCTTCGCAAAGAAAACACACAGGGAGCAGCTGCCGGAGCCGTAGCCTTAGCAACTACACCTGCTTCATACTCACGTCGGCTTTCATACATGCTCCTGGACTGGGCCCAGATTTTGAATGGATCTGGCTTTTTCTGCCCAGAAGTGTCCGGCTGGTCGGCGGCCGGCGCCTCCGGGGCGGCGTAGTCGGGCAGCACCTGAGTGCTGTGCGCGGGGGACGCGGTGTGCCCGCTGCGGTGGCTGGAGACGCTCTGCTGGGAACTGTTTTGGCTGTCTTTCCTTTCAAGTGGTTGCTGTAAGGAAGAGAGCGAGTGGAAAGGGAGAGAACAGACGGTTATTGGTCGCTGAGTGGGTGTTTTCCATCAATTTTTCTCCCTTCTTTGATCAGGCTTTTCTGCATGCACATAAGTAAATATATAAGTCACAGTTTTGCTGCTACTCAGTTAATGCTGGGTACAGCTGAATTCCCCAGTGACAGGTTCTGATAGGCAGACTGACAGAAAGAGATATACAAAACAAAGTAATTCATCATTAAAAAAAAAAAGCATTTTTCCATCTCACGCATAAGAGAGATCTAAATCTCATTATAGGTTACTAGTTTCAGCGTACTTATTTTTTCCTGAATTAAGGCAGAAAATCTCAACAACGTTCTATTCAGATAACATATGGGTCTAACTTGAGCCTGAAAGAAAATGGAAGAACTACCAGATTTCAATGTGAAAACTTAGATTGTCTCTTTGAAACAGATTCAAACACAACCCTTACTATGCAAGATCACTTTTCCTCTGCAGCTCTTGCAACTCCCCACGTTACAAGTCTGTGGACATCTGAGTACCCCTTTAATGGCTCTGCTTCCCAGAGCATCCAAGGGACTTCTGCAGACCTTAACAAATGTGAAAATGTCTATTTGAAGTTTAATTTGTTTTAATTAAGTATATTAAAACAGGAAAAAATGCATCCATCTAAACTCAGGGCTTATTCCAAAGTAGCATGTCAAGAGTTCTGACTGCTTACTATTTAGCTAAGCAAGGTATATAGATCTTAAATTCACAACTGTGTGCTCAAATGAAGCACGAGTCACATTTGCATTGCCAGGATTTGTACTAGTCAATATGCAGCAAAATCCTCAACAAGAGCTCCCCACACTGTGCAGCAAATGCTTTTTAATGCTCTTTTGAGATGAACCTTGGATTGTCACCAAGGCTGAGTGCAATCTCCCACCTGCTCTGGAACAGTGAGCTGTGCTCCCAGGGCTGCTGAGGCACAGAGGGTGACCGCAAAAACAGCATCCCACAGGTTGTTTATCCAACATCCACTGTTTCCCAGCTAAAAGGGGGCTACAAACACCAATAAGCCTCAGGCGGGAATTTAAGCCTCCTGCTGGCAGAGGGTATCTGAAAACACCAAGACAGAAATCTGTGCTTTCGGGTATTTCTCTCTAGGAACCCAGGCTGGGGTAGGGACAGAAGCCAGCAGCAGACACAGACTGGATCAGCATGGGGGGCTCACTGGCCACAGGTCTGGGCACCCCTTGGCTCACTCTGAACATGAGACCCCAGGCAGCCAATGCTCCATCACAGAACAGCTGAATTAAGTACAGAGGAGAAAGTAATCATACAAAGAGCTCTCTTCTTAAAAAAAACCAAAAACCCAGGTAAAATTATTGTGAGGTTGCACATTCTTCAGGTTTACACTGAGAAAAAATCTCAGCTTCAACAGCCCAAATAATGTTGACCTTTCAGCCTTGCATTCAAGTTGTTGATCCACCACCAGCATCTTTTTAAAGGGTATCTCGATTGACTAGAATGTGAAATTGCCTTTGTCCTTTAAAGCAATTTTCAACTAAGCTTACCTGCTGTGATTACTCATCTGCAAACTTTCAAATACAAATATCTGAACCAGTTTCCAACATTTTTAGCTTTTTAAGTGGTAAATGAAGCTAATTCACATGCAGCCCTTCAATTTTTAATGAAGCCGTTTTAAAACAGCTATGCTGGGGATAATCAACTTTAAAAAAAAAACAAACCATCTCTCAGTCCAGCCATCTGGATTGGTTTGTTTGGCCAAACTACTAAAATAACTACAAGAATCTTGTGAAACTTCAGCCAATCTCACTGGAAATAGCTGGTTACAGAATGTGGAGGACAGGGACTAAAAAGTGAAGCTTTATTCAGCCCTTAGGGAAATAATGAGAACTCTCTGAAAGCTTTCTGATTTAAAAAGAAACAAAGTTTGAACTTCAAAAAGTGCTCTCACTTTCTGACAGACAAGGTTTACATTTTGAACAAACTGAATTCTGTTTTGTATTTGGATTGCAAGTGGAAGTATCAGCACATCTCAAGCAAAAGTACCTCTAATTAAACTAGAGTAGCAATTGTAAAAATAGGTATTTTTTAAAAAATAGGTGATAAGCTCTTTAGGAGGATTGGCGGTTTTCTGAAAAATAACTCCTTCAAAAAGCCTGAAACATCTCTATTTAGGAGGTTGAGAGGGGACCAGAGCAGGGGCAACATAACCATGGTAATAACGAATGTATGTAATTAAATTAATCCAAGACAATATTTATTGACTTTCATATCACCAGAGGAGGCCAAAAAGGTTTGGGGCCAAACTTCTATTCACATGTTGCAGCAGCTTCAACACATCACAGGCATCAGGAATTGCAGGGGTCTGCCCACCGTGGTCCCTGCCACAGGCACTGCTCAGATGAAGTTTGTGTCTCAGTAAACAAAGAGCAGAGCTTTCCCAAGAGGGATGAGCTGACCAAATGCCAACCAAAGGATGGCTTGTCCATCTCCTGCCTTGTGCCCAGCTTCAGGAGCAATCCTCCTGGGTCTGAATCTTACTGTCCAGCTTGCTCAGCTCACACCCAGCTCCTTTCTGCTCAGGAAAGCAGCAGAGGAGCTCAGGGTCAGGCTGGTGGCAGAGCAGGAGGTTCTGAGCTCACCCTGGGGTGCTGATCATGGTTTTCAGTGTCAGCTGAACTGTACTGACTTCTGCCAGGAGCTAGGAAGAGCATGGGACACTGAACTACCTGCGCAGCCCTGATTCTTGACTGATCTTCTCCAGAGCTGCTGATAAGCATCAGTGGTTCGCCAGAAGGACCTTCACCAAAAGGTAAAGGCTAGAAATCAAGGCTATGGTGACTACCTCGAGTCCATTTAGGCAGACTGGACACTTAAATACAGGTGATGGGATAAAATACTGATTCTGTCTTACAGCCATGACAAAATAAATACATGGGAAGCTGGAACTTCTCATGCCCTACCCAAGCCCCTGGGCTCTGAATGAAGAGGGCTGTACATACTCTTGTACAGACTTGCTGTGGAACCAATTTCTCTTCCTGGCAAAATCAGGACATTGGCAGAGCCCCTGGTGCTGCTTATCCACCCAAAAAATGTGGTATATCTCTTGTCCAGGACTAGCTGTGCATAGGAATTGCATTTTTGGTCACAAGTCAGCTATGCTGACAATGCACTTATTTAAATCCAAAAGAAAAGCATCAGATTTTTGGAAGAGCTTAGCATTTTATCCCCCCTGCAGTGATCCCATCTTCTGATGATCTAGCTGCAGATTTTGTCCTGTAGAGCTTTTTGGAGAAGCTGGTCCTGGCAGTGACAGCAAACTGAGCTGGAAGTGGGAATCTTTGCCCCCTTGTGGAGTGTTTTGATGTAAGCAACAAGGAGAAAAAAAAAAAAAAAGAAAAAAGAAAAAAAAGTTTGTTTTCATCCATGATATACCAGGATAATTGCAGGGGAAAATGCTATACTAGAGACTTTTCATGTTTAGAATGTATATCTCCAGATGTTCAATACAAAATGGTATCTATTTTCATCTAAAAAATCATCAATGGGAAATTTAAAAAAAAAAAAAGGAGCATCACAATGAGCTGCTGGGACCATGCCCTTGGTGAGGGGAAAGGGAATAAAGAACTTGGACATGTCCAGTCCTATGTATGGCTGGAAAGGAGTTTTTTACTAATTTAGCTCCCTCACCAAGGTTGAAAAACTCTCCTTAAAATCCAAGAACAGCAAAGTTTGTCAGAAGATACACACAGACTGACAAATACAGCCCAGCAAAACTGAGCTGAAGGCAAGAAAACTTCCCAGGCTGTGTCACAGCTCCAGCACCAACAAATCTCTCCCAGCTTTAACACCTCACCACAGCCAGGAGGTACCAACAGCCTGAAGTTGGCCTTTAGGGAATGCAGGACTGGGGGCTGAGAACAGAAAATAGGATTTGTTTAAGGAAAAGCAGCCACTGGCAGTAAGTGGGGAATGTGTCTGGGCTTTGGGAAAGGATACGAGGGAATGAGAGAGGGTTCATCTCCTGAGCAAAGCAGAAGATGGACACCTGAGTCGTGACTTCCCTGATGCAGCAGAAGAAACAAAAGACAAGCACAAGCTAAGATCAAAGCCAACTGCTCCCAGCTCGATGTGTGCTGTCCTCAACTGCAGCTTGTTTATTGTACAAGGAATGCTAGAAAAGGGAGATGTCGAGCAAGGGGCATGGGGGCAATGGGCAGCACGTCCCCCCAAGCCCCACAGCTGTGCTGTGCTGGGGACAGCCCCTGGCACACAGCTCTGATGGCAGCTCCTGCGTTCACCCCATCACTGCCAGTGCAGCAGCAAACTGGGAGTCCCTGGGATTGAGGCATCCCCGGGAAACACACGGGCACAGTTCAGAGAGGGGATCCCAGACCGTGCCAGCGGGGCAGGACTGGCTCCTGCCTGTCATGAGTGGGAATCCTCATGGCCAGGAAGGTCAGGCTGGACTACCCACTCCCTGCAGTGGAGCAGCAACCCTTCAACAAACAAGGACAGTGTTAGACACCATCTCTTCCCTGCCTCTGACTGTTGCCTTGGCCACACGAGCTCTGGGACTGGTGTAAATCCACCTGGAGATGCCCCGAGGCACTTTGCTGCAGGTTTCCATGCTCAGTCCCCACATGTCAGTGATGCCTGGGGAGGAAGCAGTGGCTGCAGGGGCTCTGCCCTGCCGGCTCTGCCCTCCGAGGAGCAGCTGCCCACTGAAGCTGCTGCACGATGCTGCAGTGAATACAACACCACTGCCAACTGCGCTGGTGATGACCCCCTGTGCAGCCAGGGGAACAGGAGGCTCTGCTTTTTGGGAATCCTGCACTTTAGAGGCAACAGCACCACCTAGGACCATAGGAAAAATCACTGAAGGAACCCTGAAAAGGCTTAGGAGAGGCACGCAAAGGAATGTCAGCTTTCCCCGGGCTGACAGGTTCTCCAGAGCAAACAGTAGAGGGAAATCTGCTGTTGCACAGCTACACCTGTTTGTAAGCAGCCTCTTTGTTCACCAAGACTGGATTATCCTGCCATGGATTTACATGCTGCTCAGATTTTCACTGTGCATATCTGTCAGCCAGAGAGGTGCCTGACACAGCAGGATCCCGCTGTGTGTGTGGCAAAGTGGGAGCATCCACGCTTCGGGAAGACCGAGGCTGATGGATTAGGGCTGGTTTAATGACAGAAGTCATAGCCCGGATCGCGTGCAGCCAATCCTGCTCTGACCGGGGGAGAAAGTGGAGGCAGGGAACAGAAACGTGCCAGACACGTCTGTGTTTTACACACTCGCTTCTGGCTCAGCGAGGGCTGAAACAGCCCCCGCGTGTGACAGCGGCGAGCGGGCAGGGCTGACAGCGCTGCGATCCGCGAGGAGCGCACCCCGCACTTCTGCCTCCCAACATTAATGCAAGCTGACAATGGTAGAGGCCTGGGCTCACATGACTTTAATCAGCGCTGCCCTAAGCCATCAGAATCACATTAATTATTTCAGGGCTTTCTTTTTGGATGAGCAGAGAGCTCGTATTAAAAGCAAGAGCTTTCTGCTCAGCCGCCTCCTAAACCTCTTGCCCAGGTTTGCAGCGAGGCGGGCTGTGCCCAGCTGCAGGTTTTGGCACCACCAGGGACTGTTGGTGAAGTTTCACACCATCTTACAGCACGGCAAATACCTCACTTGGTTTGCTTCCCCAAAGCTCCTGGCAGAGAATTTTGTCTCTCCCCCCCAAAGATAACTGCAAACTTTCAGGCTTTAGGTATTTCATTCCCTTTAAAAAAAAACATTGCTTTTTGTTGCATACAAATAGCACATTAATTTCTTCCATAATATCATTCATGGAGCTTTAACAATACTGGAGATCACAGCTTCTGTGCTGCTAGCTGAGATGCTAAGATGTTTCCAGGTAACAGCTTTACATGGAAATACATTCGGGGGGACAAGAAAATATTGTTCTGTTGTTGCTTTTCTAAAATTTGCGGAATCTTACACCTGCAGGACAATCCTGCTCAGTATGGAAATGCCTCCAGAGCAGCTGGAGCACTCGGACAGCTGGCTGTATTCCCTGGGAACTGTAGCCATGCTCTGTTCATGCTTTGTCTCTCCTGACAAGGTGCATGCTTTCCCTCCTGTTAATAATTCAGCCAAAGGTTCCCAAGAAAACTCATTGAGTTAATGGAAAAGGTTGGTGCCTATGAGCACCCGACAGGATTTGGTATCTAGCAAGAAGGTGGAGCCTCCCATCTTTCCAAAAGGAAACAATAGCTTTTTTTTTTTTCCCCCCGTAAGTTAAACGATAGAGAAGCTCATCTGTCAGGGAAGCAGATTTGTAAACCTGAGGCTTTATTTGCAAACAAGTCCCCCTTCCGTACTGCATCCCCCTCTCATCTCCCCATGCAGCAGGAGCCGTGCAAGGTAATCATGGTTGCAACAGAAAGACAACTTAAAACAATCGAGACCCAGAAAGCAAACAAGGCAAACCCATGCTTTTCTCCTTCAAAGCAGACAAACAGACAGAAATAGTAGCTGAAAAGTGCTTACCGACTTTGGGCTCTTCTTTGGGACTGGCAGTCCTGAAAAATGGCAACAAGGGAAAAACACACATTAGCATTAAGCGTTACCTTCCCTTAAAGAAAAAATCCCTAGGTGTATCATCCGAAGGTAGCCATCTGCAGAGTTATGTCAGCTCTCGCTCTGGCACCGGAGTTAGCAGTCTGTTCATATCGAATCAAAGCCCGGCGAGAGGCAGAGCGAGCGAGAGCCAGGGAAGAGGCAGCGGGGGGAGAGCTCTCTGCATTAGCTATGCTGCCTTGTGCTGCAGAGCTGGGAGGCTGCGAGAGAAACCCACAGCCCTCGGCAGCTGCCCAAACCCAGCGCCTGCCTGGGCAGAATCTCAAATGCTCCCCTGGATTACAGGAGGTTTAGCTCACAATTAAGCTGGGGCTCTTTCCTCTTGACGCTATCGGCTCGGCGCTTTTGATCGGACCAATCGCAGCGGCGCAGGGGAAACAGGTTGATTTTTTAAAAAGTATTTCTCTAGAAATTGATTTTTTTTTTTTTTTTTCCGAAGGGAAGATGTGCGTTGGGTTTGAGCCGAGAGGTGTGGGCTGGGCAAAGGAAAACAAAAGCGTGAGGAAGAAAAAGCTTTTCTCCCTACAATTATGAATGTTACTGAAAAAACACAGGTTTTCCTTCCTGTCCATCCTAAGTGGAAATCTTTGAGATTTTATCTGTTAGGTGCAATTTCAGAGAGCTGTGGCTTGAGAACAGCACTACCAGTGCCCTGACCCCTGGGGGGGATGCTAGGGAGCTTGGAGGAGCAGGGCTTACACAGATTGCAGGTGATGTAAAGGAAAAAACACCGGGAGGGCACCAGGGAAGGTTTTTTCAAGGGTAATTTTGCATTTTGAAGCAGCCTCTTACTCAGTCTGTGATGAGCAAGAGAACTCAAGTGATATTTCAATCAGCTACTTGTGCATAGAGCCTAGTTGCCAGCAGCAAAGGAGACACTTGTCTGGGGATTTACCTACAATGCAGGAAAAGCTCTTGGGGTCAAGACCTCCCTTTTCCCCCTGGTGTTGGAAGAGAGAGGAACCCCCCCCTGTATTTTTTTTTCTCTGTGTGACACTCCAGAAACAAACATAAACCAAACCACAGATTACACTCCACATTAAGTGCTCAGTAATTCAGATGTTTAAAATCTGCTTTTGTCTTTAGGATGTGATTTATGTGGCATTTATGCCGCATTACGTTTTCTACTTTATGCATTTTGTTGATTCTAAACCCCATGCCCTCATATAACTTTTACACAGAAAATAAAACAAACAGTGCGAGAGAATTACAAATCTGTCTAGGAAGATGCTTATTTTAAGGTAATTTGGGAGATGATAGCACTGAATAGGGAAGATCCACAATTAAAAATGATAATCAGAGCTCACTTTGCTGCTACTCTCAGGCTGGGATGCATACTGTAAGGAGTATTTTAAAGGAAATATTTTCAAGCTTTTGAGGAATATCTCCGCTCTACATGTCACTCTGATGCATTTCCAGCCAATAGCTGATCTCCCTCCAGGCACTGATTGATTGAGGGACAATGAAACATCAAACTGTTTGAACTAAACAATCAAGACTGCAGCTTCATTTCTGCTGATGGGGACTGTGTTTGTATAATACCCTTAAAGAGGAAAACACTTCATAACCTTTGTGGCAAATCACATTTTTAACAGGCATCATTTATCACAGAGGTAAACACACAGATAGAGATTCTCTTCTCTCTCTCCCTCATTCCACATGCATGCACACACGTTTACTCTCCCTTCCCAAGAGATGATCTTTCCTATTAAATCAATACATAGAACACATCCCCATACACACACACACACCTTTAACAGACCAGCATGAGACAGAAAAGATTTAACAACATTTTAAATGTTCGCTCCAAAAAATAAAGCGGAAATGCAGGTGAGCTGCTGGGTCAAATTGTTTCAGAATTCAGTCAATGCATCACCAGCATTAAATGTTAAAATTTAGCAAGTATGAACTACTGAACAAACCTTTCCTCCAAAATTTGTCATTAATGTTGGCTGTTCCATCCCCAAAGAGATGGAAAACAGTTGAAAAATAAAGGAAAACACATCAAGGCTGTTGTTTGGTGGGTCCTTCAGAGGCCAATGAATCTTACAGTGTCACTGCTCTGTGCCAGACTTTGCTGCAGAACAAGCAATAATTTACTTCTTACCAAAATAAGTGACTGCAGAACACATTAACAAATGTTGGTAGGTTTTCATGGGACAAGCTTACAGTCAGGGGAATAACCTGCCTGTACATTTTCATGTGAAAATATTATTTATTCATCTAATTAGGGTCTCATTTTAGAACTCCAGTTCCTGGCACAGCAGGCCAAATGAGCAAATGATAGGTGGGAGCTTTCATACTCAGATGATGGAATGGACACAGTATTTAACAGAGATGAACATGAAGTGCTTGAATAACCCCCATATCCTGGAAGCTCCCCTAGGAAGGAAATCCTGAGCTTTTCCAAAAAGCTTCTGTTGAAAACATTTCCCAAGCCCATGAATTTGGCTTTAGGACTGCATTAACATGGAATTCCATCACTGCTCATGCCATGCCTTGCTTGGAAGCTCATCCTCCTGGCTGCCCTGTTCTCTCCTGAAGCCTCACTGCAATTTTTTCAGAGGTAAATGGGGCCAAGCATAGACTGAACACCCCATCTGCACCTTTTTGGCATTTTCCAGCTTTTTGGTGGTTCTATAAATGGCTTCACATCCCTGGCTAGGAGAAGCCAGAATAGTAATAGTTTATACTGACATTGCAATATAATTTCCCTGTGATTTGATACCTACAGGCATCTCTCACTAGTACTTGGAATGCATCTTCTAATTCTGGGGGGTTTTGGAGATACAGATTAGAGAAGATGGAAGAGTCAAGCAATCACACAGGGCTGTTGTCACCACAGAGTTAACAATGTTTTAAAACAAATGAGCACATCTGGTAAACAATGTCAATATGACCTAAAATCCCTTGAATGGGCTCATTGTAGCTACTTACTAAATGTGCCTAGAATTAAATTAATTAGAAAACACAAATTAGTTCCCTCTAAATAACAATGTAATAAAGCAACTGCTTAATGAAAAATATCAGTGATCAGTGAGCAATCCACAAGAACAAAAAAAGGGATTGTAATCAAACTAAATTCACAGACCCATGAGCAAAGCAAGAAAGACTTCATACAAGGTTAGTCAAAAATGAGTCAGATGCAGGGATCTAAATTAAACTAATTATCACAGAGATTATTACATTTATCTTAACAAAACCCTCTCTCTTTTCTCCCCAGTACTCCCTAAAGCTCTGTGTACAGCTGGCTGCATCCATCTGCTCAACTACATTTTGTAACATAGGGGAAAAAACCGCAAATCATTAAGCAAGTTTTGTAGCATGACTTCAGCACTCTGAATGCCATTACCCATGAGGAGCTGTACTTCTGTTGCATGACACTGTGTTATGTTGTGAGTGATGTGACCCATGAATTAAACCATTAATTCAGCTTATTTCATATTATTTGCGTTAACTGTGCAGTCTTGGGTGGTAAAACTTTTGGGAAGCTGTAAGGTTGCTAACCCTATTTATGATGAGTTCATGGAAGAACACATGGGACAAAACTTGACCTCAAGTGTTGCTGTTTCTAACAGGCAATTTTTAAAGGAACATTTTTTTCTTCAACTCCTTTGTCTTTACGCAACCTAAGTAACATGGGAAGACCACAAAACATGGCAAACTCTGCTTTGCTGAACATACACAGAATGACCACAAATCCACACCACAGCCTGGGCCTGCTTCTGGTGAGGGCTCAGACGGCCACGAGTGCTCCAAAATTACCTAAATGGACACCACAACATGCCCTGTTCCACAGCCACGTGTTTTAGAGATAGTAAGTCAAAATTATCTAAAGTTGAATGCTAAGGAAGACCTATCTCTAGGCACTACAGGAGTAATGCAGTCAGCCCATCCCAACAGCTCGGACTCGTGGTGGCCAGCTGCTGTGTGTACTTTTCACCACACATACACACACAAATTATACATTTCAATGGGATTTCAGCTGAAGTTGGAACAATCCAGTAGTTTGCACAACTCACCCACAGGACAAAGCCTCCTGGAATTGCTAAGAGCCAGTCTGGAGGCCTGACTATCATCTTATGTATGGCTTACAGTGTCTGCACACTGCTTAAGGGTTTTTTTGGGGTGGTTTTGCACATGAAAGAGAAGAACAGCTGTTTCTAGATCTTCACTTCTCAGAGTCCCTTAACTCATCCAACACCTTGGATGGTCATTGTGGACCATCTATATCCAAGAGCAAAACAAGCTATAGGTGAGTCTAAGAGGGAAGGTCACCCATGAGGTTTTGCCCTTATGTCATCTGTAGCCCAGAAGGTACCAGTGCTGAAAATTAATTGGAGATGAAGGAAAACACAAGAAAATAAAGATTTCGGACTGTGTCCCAAGGTTAACATTTACAGAGAAAATGTTCCTGCCTGGAAAAAAAATAAAACCTTCAAGCTTTCTAAATAGCACTTACACCGTGCTGAATAAAAACCAAAGGCTGTATCAAAGAAAACAGACACTTTGAAAGATGAGGTTTAGGTAAAGTACTGGAGTCAGGGGGTGCACAACCATATACCTGGCATTGAACATTGATCTGTGTGCAAAACAAGGAACTTTAAATAATTAACGCTAATGGCCATTAGTGCTGCTGGGGGGGGAAGGGGACAGGAGATTGGTGGTGACAAAGCAATGTCCTTGGTTCCCTATGATCCATTGCCAAAGAATTTCTAATAAAGGACAAATACTATTTAAAAGAGTAGATGGAAGTTCATCTTTTGCAGACCAGAACAATCAGCAGCAAGAGAGGCGAGTCCGTGCAAGCATAAGGAGAAGAAAGAAAAATTCAAGAAGAAATCCCCTACCTGTCCCTGCCAAACTTTTCTGCTCGTCATTGTGATTTGCATAACAAGAGTGGCACTGCACTAGCAAAAAAAAAATTAGCTATGCAATATAA